TAAACTTTCTTTACTTCTTCCTTTAAGGCTTTCACGAAGGATTCTTTCTAAAGGGTTCCTTCAACGGATCTTTTAGCGTTCCTTGTAGGCTTTGTTTTGGGTTCCTTTGAAGCTTTCTCTAGCGGTTCTTTTGGGCTTCCTTTAAGGGTTCCGTTCGTAAAGGCTTCTGTAAGGTTCTGTAAGGAACATTCTAGATGTGGGTTTGAGGGTTAAAAGGATTCGGTTCAGGATGCCGGGATTTGGGGTGTCAGGGTTTAGGGGCTTAGGGTTCTCGGAGTTTAGGGTTTAGATTAAAGCAAAGGCCTGCATTGCTTGCAATAGCGCCACTCCAGTCCCGGTATAACTCCACGGGCATTTTCCCACGAAATCGTTGGGTTGGGGCTTTAAGGGCTTTAGGGGTTTAGGGGTTTAGGGGTTTAGGGCTCTAGGGGTTTAGGGGCTTAGGGGTTTAGGGGTTTAGGGGTTTAGGGGTTTAGGGGTTTAGGGGTTTAGGGGGTTTAGGGGTTTAGGGCTTTAGGGGTTTAGGGCTTTGGAGTTCTGGCTTGGTGCTTGAGGCTTGGAGCCCCTGAGCCCTACTTGGAGGGTCGGGGGACTTAGTAACTGGGTATTTTATAGACTTATAAGCACCATAACCCCAATTAGGGTCCCTTTTAGTGTACTTATCAGTCTACTTACTACCTACTTACTAAGTCCCTGAACCCTAAACCCTAAACCCTATAGTGCCCCTAGAGAGCCCTTTAAAGGAACCCTTAGAATCCCCTTTAAAGGAGCCCCCACTTACTAAGTCCCCCGACCCTCCAAGTAGACCCTAAACTCTGCAGGCTCTGTAAGACCCAACAGAAGGCCACAGGATGGAGCAAACAGATCGAAGTTACGGTTAAGGGTTGAGGGGTACGTTTAGGGTTTAGGGTTTAGGGTTTAGGGTTGAGGGGTACGTTCTAAGAATTTCTGTCCATGAACAAGCTAATCTGAATGCGTTTGGCTATGTTCCTTAGAGCGGGTGTTCTTCGTGTGGTCACCAGAGATCCTCAAGAAGCGAGCCTGAAGGAAGCCCGGCCAAACCCTCAACCCTTCACCCAAAACCTTAAGCCGCAAACCCTAACCCGTAAACCCAAAACCCTACACCCTAAACTTACCCCAAAACCCTAAAGGAGCCTTTCAAAGAGGCCCCTGAACTCAGGGTTGTTGGGGTCCTCTTGGGGCGATAATTGTGGAGGAGCGGCTAGGTTTTTAGGGTAGACCTTAAATCCCGAACCCCTTAAACCCTTTAAATCTTTTTGAGGACCTTTTCAACACCTTCAACCCCTTAGGGAGCTTTTCCAAGATTCCGGAGGAGGGTCAGGGGATTTAGTAAGTAAGGTTATAGCTAAGGTAAGTATAGTTATATCTACTTGTAACCCAAATCAGGTACTAATAACTCCACTTACTAAGTCCCCTGATCCTCTAAGCGGAGGAGGGTCGCGCCAACAAGAAGCGCTACGACGCCGAGATGAAGTCGGCTGTGGTCCCGTGGCGGAAGCGAGGGTGAGGCTTTCTGGGTCTCGGGTTTAGAGTTTAGGGTTTCCCTAAACCCTAAACCGGGGTGTAGGGTTTAGGGTTCTGGGTTTAGGGTTTGGGGTTTCGGGTTTAGGGGTTTAGGGCGAGGGTTTAGGGTTTGGGGCTTTCATAAGGGGTTAGGGTGTTGTTCTAGGGCAGTTAAAGAGGTGTTCTTACAGGGTGTATGTTTCTCTATAAGGCTGTGTGGGTTGCAGGGTTTAGTTCTTTCGGTTTGGGTATTGAGCATTGTTGGTTTTAGTGCTCCCGGTTGAAGTGGGGCTTTTAGTGCTTTGGGCTTAAGGGCTTTGAGGCTCAATTCGGCTTTCGACTTGACGGTGTTTTTTGGTTTTTTTATGTCAGGGTCAAAGGCACCAAGCCGAAGTATACAATGGTTTTCATGCTTTGGGATCCTACATTGAACTGGAGCTAAGGGCTCGTGGATGCGTGGTGATTCTTGGATCTTCTTTCTGGTCGAAGATGTATGGCCAATTGAAGAAGTCCACTACCGGTGCTCACACGATCTCGACTGAGAAGATGGTCAATCCTGATTCCCGATTTCGACACAAGCTGGCTTACGCTATCTATGAGAAGCAGTTGTTCAGCGAGAAGATTGTATCAGCGTGCTTCGTTGAGAGTGCAAAGATACGTCAGTGGGATGACAATGTCCGCATTGAGACCGTTGCGCATCCTGCACTTATCGAAATTTGGGAGGACAAGAGCGAAGTCAAGACCATAACATCCCTTGCTGGAAGGTCCCCCTTCGAGGAAAACCCTGTCGGTGGTGAGATAGAGGGTTAGCGGTCAAGAGTTGCATCACTCCCTAAACACTAAACCCGAAACCCCGTAACCCTAAACCCCGCAACCCTAAACCCCTCAACCCCAAATCCTAAACCCCTAAACCCTAAACCCCTAAACCCCTCAACCCCTAAACCCCTAAACCCCTTTAACCCCTGAACCCTAATCCGAGCTTACTTTTTGGGTCCCCGGACGAGGTCTCCAGGAATGTTTGCTTTAGGGTTTAGGGTTTTAGGGTTCAGGGTTTTAGGGTTTAGGGTTTTAGGGTTTAGGGTTTTAGGGTTTAGGGTTTTAGGGTTTAGGGTTTAGGGTTTAGGGTTCAGGGTTTAGGGCTCGGGGGTTCAGGTTTCGCGTTTTCGGGGTAGGGCTTTCGGGTTTAGAGCTTCGGGTCTTAGGGTTTAGGCTTTTAGATTTCCTGGTCCTGAAAAGAGGGTTTAGGGTTGAGGGTTTATTCTTTTAGGGGCCCTAATCCCCAACTTGTTGAGGCCCACGTCTATGAAGGGACCAACAGAGGTGGGATGGAGGTAACGTAGGGGCCTTAGTAATTAGAATAGGGTTTGGGGCATGTTATACTATGACCATAATGAGGAACACCCAAAACCCTGTGGATCCTGGGTAGTACCCTTTTGCCCTTTTAATTTTTGGGTCCACCGAACAAAACGGAAGGTATTAGGAAATGGGTACCCTAATGACAAAGGGGCTACTCAGGCCACCTGGCCTTAAACATGAACTCTTCTCTGGGGGGATTCCCCAACCTGCCTTCGCCCCGCCTTTGCTATAAACCCCTTGCCCAAAACTACAACCAAAACCTAAACCCTAAACCCTAAACCCTAAATCCCTAAACCCTAAACCCTAAACCGTTGCCCTAAACTCCCCGCATTTGTCTTGACCCAGGAGCGCATCGTAGTTTGCGGACTCCTCGGTCCTCCTGTCCGCTCCACAGAAATTCAGGGTTTCACAGGGTTGTATCGCGTTGTAGACGGGCTTTGGGTTTGGAGTTGAGGCTTTCATAGGGTTGTATAGTATCGCGTTGTAGACGGGTTTATGAGGTTTTATTATAGGCTTCGTTGGTTGTTTTTAAGCATGTTTTTTGTTGCAAGGGTTTTCTTAATATGCGTTTAACCTGGAGACCTCAAGAACTTGTTAAAATCATTGCCATGCCGTCCTCGCATGCTTTTACTGTCCTCATAAAGGCCGTTAACATACGATAGGGGCCTTAATGATTACCTCTACTATTTTGGGGGTTCCTTATTAAAACAGTCATAGTATAATGGGCCCCAAAACCCATTCCAATTATTAAGGCCCCTACATTAAATCCTTATAATGGCCCTGATAGTAATTAGCCCTTATCAGCCCCTTCAAAAGAGACCCTTCAAAGGGAACTCCAGAAAGTTGGAATACGGTTTCAGGGTAGGATACCCTATAATTTACCGTAGAAGGGTGTAGGATAATCATATTCCAACTTTCTGGCTTTTACTTTAAAGGAGCCCTATTCTAATTATTAAGGCCCCTATATCAGGGCCAGGGTTCGAGGCCTTAGCGGTTGGCGGGGGCTTGTGGTTTGGTTTCAGGTTTAGGGCATGGGTTCAGGTAGGGTTTAGGGTTTAGGGTTTAGGGTTTAGGGTTTAAGGTTCAGGTAGGGTTCAAAGGGTTTTGGTTCGAGATTAAAGTTTCGTGCAGACTGCTTACTCACATCTCTCTCTCCCATTCATAATAGGGATCCGACTTTCCAGGGCTTTTAAAGAGGGGGATTCATTAATCAAGGGTTTGCTAAGGACCCCAAGCCCATATTCAACCCAATAAGCCCTACACCTGACTTCTAAATCGTAACTTAAAAATTCTTGCAATATTAGTGCTGCTCTTCAGGAAGCTAAGGTCTAAGAGGCAAGTTAAAGTTTCGGGGGCTCCGAAATATCAAGCGAAAGCCGAAGCTTCAAACGCTGTGCCCTGCCCCGCCTGCCGTGCTTGAAACCCCCCAGCTCTCATCTTTATGGGTGGATGGTTGTGAGGCGTTATGAGTCAAAGGGGAAAAGGAGGGACCCTTAATGGGGACCCCTACCCTATAATGGGCTATAGAATGGGCTATATAATAGCCATATTAAGGGTATATACCTAGGGGTCCTTTTTAAGGGTCCCTCCTTTTACCCTTGGAACGAGAGTTCAGGGGTCCAGGTGTTTAGGGCTTTAGTAAGGCTTAAGGGGTTTGGAGTTTAGGGTTTAGGGTTTAGGGTTTGGGGTTTAGGGTTTGGGGAAACCTACTTGGATGCTTTTTTGGCTTTGCTGGTATGGTTAGCAGGATTGGCTTGGGGGACGGGGATGGCCCCTTTGGACTTGAATCGTCTTGATACGTTTTTAGCTGTTCAGGATTTAGGGAGGGATTTAGGGTTTCGAGTTTAGGGCTTCAGGGCTCTTAGTATCCAGAACGTACTTAATCAGCTTCGATGACGAGAGTGCGTGATGTGCAGCCGCCTTGCTTTCAGGAGCTCTCAAGCAGGTTCTGGCTTTGAACTTCTTATTCGCCTTAGGGCTTGGGGTTTTAGGCTTCAGGGTTTTGCTTCCTTTAAGGGTTCCTTTAAGGATGCCTAGAAGGATTCCTATAAGGGTTTAGGCTAGGGCCTCTCATGGTTCAGCTCCGGGCGCCTTTAGAGTGACTCGCTCTCGGCTGCGCGATGGCCAGTCAGACGCGTACTATCCTCTGCAGCCATCGGGAGGTGGGATTGGCCAAAGAAAAAATTTAGGGTTTACGGTTTAGGAACCCCATGTCCTAAACCGGCTTTCCTAAACCCAAAACTTCAACGCCTGATTCCCTACACCCTAAACCCTGCACCCCCGAGCCCTAACCCCCTGAGCGCTCTTCCATAAACCCCAAACCTCAACCCCACGAAGCATCGCTTAAAACCCCCGCTAATCCCATCCTCTAAACCCTAACCCGAAGCTAAAGCCCATAATCTAGGCGCCTCAATAATTGCTAATACTATGTTGGGGGCTCCTTCTTAAACGTATAGTACAATGGCCCCAAATCCCTATGCTAATTTTCAAGGCCCCTAGAGTTCGCCAGGTGGTTTTCGCTCCCCCAAGTTTGGCTTGGAAGATGCTGATCGAGAAGATCCGTCGGCCCGATAAGCTACTCGACGACGGAGTGTTTAGGATTTCAGGTTTTAGGGGTTAGGGTTTAGGTGATTTTGTGTTTAGGGTCTTAGGGTTTCAGGGTTTTAGGGTTTAGGGGGTTGGGACTTTAGCCATTTTAAGCCTTAGGGTCTGAGAGTTTTAGGGCTTAGGGCTTTTAGGGTTCGGTTTAGGTGTAGGGGTCACGGGTTAGGGGTCACTCTGAAGTGATGTCTGTGCTTTGTTCCTCTCATTTTGACCGCTTGGTTTTTGTTCATCCTAGAAATCCGCCTGTGCATCCCAAGGCAATGTCAAACTGCAAGCAATTTCGAAGTTTTGGAACGCATTTCCCAAGAGCCCCACGCATATGTGGAAGTTTCCGAAATTAGGGATACCTCATTTTGGAGTCCTTATATAATAAGGATCCTACTATTTAGGGAAGTATATTAGCGTTCCCTTTTTTCGGAAACTCCCATGTGTGAACTCTAAACCTCCAGGGTTTCCAGAGGACTCGATTCCGGAACGAAGCCGGTGCTTTGATTCCTTGCAATCCTCCTGAACCCCCAGGTACGTTCCTGGCGTGACGAGTGTGGAGGCCAGCGACTCTGCAGACGTTCTAAACCCAGAGCCATCGACCCCAAACCTTGGCGTTCTTCTACTCTTAGGACTTTAACTTTCTGGGTCTCTATATGAACTATAATAAGAACACAAAAAGTTAGGGTTCAGACGTCGGCCGCGAAACTCGGAGGTCGTTAAGGAGCTGGGCGGCAATTCAATTGAGCGCAAGATGACTGCAGGGGGCAAGGTCATTCACGAGATCATCGGCGCAGATGCGACTCGGGATCGGTGCCCAAACCTTAAACCTCAAAAACTCAACCCTAAACGCCTGCAAAGCGCATGGAAACCTACAGGCCTCAGGACTTACCATTGTTATTCCGTAGGGTTCCTTATTATAGTAATACTATGCAGGAGCCCAAAACCCCATTCTAGTTGAACACCCGAAACAAGGACTCAGAATTCGGTCCTTCAGCTGGGTTTTCGATGAGGCGAGAGGTTTAAAGTCACCATAGTATAGGGGCCTTATTTGTTATCTACACTATCTTTGGGGTCATAATTACTAAATATATTATGAAGTCCCCCAAAACGCTATTGTAATTATTAAGGCCCCGATAGTAGTTAGAAACCCTACTATTTACCATAGATCCCTGTGATGGTAACGCACATTAGGTTCCTTGACGAGAGCCGAGTCAGAAGTATCCCTATACCCATCCCAGTTTTGGAGTCTTCGGGTTGCCGCGCTAAACCCTGAACCCTAAACTTTTACTAGGATGCCCAGTAGTACCCTTATTCCCTTTTTGTAGTCTTAGTTTCCTTATAAAGTTACCATACACCAAAGGGAGCCCTTTTTTCCTAGGTTATTGGTCACCCTAGTTTAGATCCACTAAACCGTAGATCCCAAACCCGTAAAATCCCAAGCCATAAGCCCTACAACCCGGAGACGCTGACCTGCAACCTAGGCAACGGCCATGACTGTCATCTTCCGCATGCACCAGTCCCATCCCATTCTCAGTGGCTTCGTGACGAACACTGCCTCGTGGCTGTGTAGGGTTTGGGGTTTGGGGTTGCGGATTTGTGAATACATTTGACGAGTAACGACTGACCTGCTTGGTTGGTGTTTCTGCTTGTCCTGTATGTTTTTTATGGCTCTTTTGTACACCTTAGCCCCAAGTAACCTACCTTTTTAAGGACTTCTATAAAGAAAGCATATTAGGGAACCCTAAAAAGGCAGGTTCCTTCGTGGTCCAGGTAGAGATTACGGAAGTTCCCACTCCTCAAGCCTAAGCCCTAAGACCGTAACGACTACAAGACTTAAAGGATCATGGGACTTAGTCACTAGGGTTATTATTGGGGTAGCTATACTTATAATTACTTATAACCCCAATTAAGGGACTTATAACTACAGTTACTAAGTCCCATGATCCTCTAAGCATACTCCAGCACCCTTATAGTATCCCTTATAGTAGCCCCTTTAAAGGAACCCTAGGAACCCTACCTCACTTACTAAGTCCCATGATCTTCCAAGTAAGCGAAACTCAGGTCCTGCCCCACGAGGGAGAGCTGGGAGGTGGAGCAACTGAGGGCGAGAAGGAGCCAGAGAGCTGCGTGATTGACTACACGATGTGTTGGGAAGCGAAACCAGGTGGGCCCTGAACAGTACTTAACCCTAAGGCTCCATGTACCAATATAGTATATACTTAGGCCTTAAAGTACCTATGTAGGGACCCCGTTCAGGCTTAAGTATCTACTATGAAGGTACATGGAGCCTTTGGGTAAAGGACCAGGGACTTAGTAAGACTTGACTGAGGTGCAAGTAAATATAACCGTATTTACCTTACTTGTAATCCTAGTTACTGAGTCCCCTGAACCTCCAAGTAGACCCTAAACCCCAAACCTCGATAACACCCTTAAAGGAACCCTTAAAGGAGCCGTTAAAGGAGCCCTACTAACTAAGTTCCCCTGCTGAACCTCCAAGTAAGGGATTCATGAAGCCTTGTCCTTCAAAAAAGATTCAGAACAGAGATCCAGCTGTTAAGGGCCTTTTGAAGAAGGGGTCTGCATTAGTAGTTCTGCGGGCTTTAGAGTATAGTTTAGGATTCTAGGGCTTGACCCACAGAGGTACAGAGTACAGAGTTCAGTCCTTTTGAATCTGGAACCTTCTTCGCTTGAAGATTCAGGGCCAGTTGTAAATCAGTATGCGCAAGCAATCTTTCGCGGAGGCTTACTGACTCGAGCCTCCTTCCTCTTTAGTGATGCTCGCAGCTTTGATGTAAGCTGTTAGTTCGTCGAAAGACACATGCTCAGCTTGTGGTCGCCTTGGGTTTCTTGCTGACAATTTCGAACCTTCAAACACGGACTTTGACACAAGTTGCCACGAGAATAGATAGCCTGTGGGCGACCTGAGTCTGTGAACACGCCCAGGTGCACCTGAAGATGCTGTGAAGCTTGGCATTCTTCTGGTTGACTTTTAGGGCTTTAATTTTTTTGGGCTTCTATATGAACTATAATAGGTAGGCTAAAAGTTTCACTTGTCGGAGGGGTTCAGAAGTCGGCCAAGGAAGCAGATGCAAGAAATGCTGCCAAAGAGCTGTGTCAACGCAGTGACGCACGCCAAGGAGCTCATGGAGAAAGCGGCCAAGGGCGAACCTGAGTGAGTCGCGCAGGCTCGACTGTACATGGACACGTGTGTGTTTTTCGCCTTGGGACATTTTCCCGCGATTTTCCAAAGTTCGTTTGGACCTCTGCCTCGTGCGTCTTGCGCAGAAAGACCTGATGGATAGGCTTCATCTACAGTAACATAGAAAAGCAGCCTCCCAAGACAATCAAAACCCAAACCCTTAGACCCCTGATACTCCTTAAAGGGATCTATAAGGGTTCTATAAGGGGTTTAGGGTTTAGAGTTTCCGAAAATCTTTGTCATAGTTGGGTAACATTTTACCATCTTTGTGGGTAATAAGGAACAAAAATGTACATTTTTAGTCCTTTCCCAACACTGAGCTAGACCCCTGGCGCGCCCGAATCTTACCCCGGATGCGTCGCCCATGCTTGCAACGGCATGAACATTGCTGCAATGCAGGCATTTCCTGTTGAGCGGCGCTTGAAAGCCAATCAGGGTACAAGCACTCGATTACCGCCCTCCATACAAATCCTCTAAATGCTCGCTGAAGACCCCAGCCCGCATCCCTGAACCCTAAACCCTAAACCCTGTTCTGCAGTAGCTCTCAAGGGAGCTCTTAAAGAGGAGCCCTTAAAGGAGCCCTGACGAAGTGATTCCGCTGAGGTGCTGGAGGAGACTCCCGCATAGCGGTCGAGGAGGCACCGGCCGCTTTGGGGATAATCTTTTATACTTAAAGGATCATGGGACTTAGTAACTAGGGTTATTATTGGGGTAACTATACTTCTAATTGCTTATAGCCCCAATTAAGGGACTTATAACTATAGTTACTAAGTCCCATGATCCTCCAAGTAGTGGTTTAGGGTTCAGAGGTTCGGGTTTAGGGTTTCTATAGGGCTTTGGGGTAAAGGGCTTCGGGTCGAGGGAGTGTAGGAGTTTTATAAGATTTGGGTTGAGGGGTTTAAGGTGTACACGGAGTTCTTCGGGTTCAAGGTTTGTTTAAAGGGGTTTTGTTTTTTAGGAATCAGGGTCTTGGGTTTAGGGTTTAGAGTTTAGAGCTAGGGTTTAGGATTTAGAGCTTTGGTGGTCTTTGGATCTTTTAGGGTTTGGGGGTTTAGGGAAAGCAGAAAAATCGTGCTCTTTCCAGCTTTGTAAAGGGTTCTGTTGTGTTCAGTGCATCGGCAAGGTTTTGTCAGGGTTCTGTAGAGTTCAGGGTTATGGGTTTAGGATTTCGGAGGTTTAGGTTGAGTTCTCAGACTTAAATGTAGCGAGTGATTAAGAAACCTTGGGCCTTTATTCGGGTTCCTTATATGAATCCTAATATATTGCGGGTTATAGGGCCAAGTTTTCTTAATCAGGTTTCGACATTAGGTGCCTAAGTTCGGATCATGAGTATATAGATATAACGATAGTTTGCGTACTTATGCGCCTTCTAGCTAAGTTCCTGATCTTCAAGGAGATCCTAAACCTCAAACCCCAAACCTCCACGATACAACCCTTACTCAGAGCCCTTCTCGAACCCAATGCAGCCTTTGTGAGCGCCGTCTTACAAAAAGCCTCTATAACAAGATACCCGACACCCTCTATATCAAGAAACCCTAAACCCTCAACCCTAAATCCTAAACCCTAACGCCTAAACGTTCATTGAGGTCGATCGCCTTGGCTCCCTGCGCTGCTTTCCTTGAGGGTCCAAGTGCCCAAAGGGTGGGCCCTCAGGTCATCAGGGCTTTGGGTTTTTGGGGTCCTTCTAATTCGGATCCTTCTATTTAGGGAACTATAGTTTTAAGTTACGATAGTATGGTGGCTAGTGCAATTAACTCCCCTAACAAACCCTATACTAACGAGAACATGGTATTTACTATAGATCCCTATGTTTTGCCAAAGTTGAGGGACTTTTGAAATCGACACCTAGATTAAGCCCTAAGGCCTAAAACCCTAAAGCCCCAAACCCTAACCCCTAAACCGTAAAACCCCAAACCCTAAACCCCAAACCCTTAAACCCCAACATCCTAAAGCCCTAAACCCTCCAACCCTAAGCCCCTAAACCCCAAGCCCTACGTTAACAAACCCTAAGTTTGGGCACTTTGGGCCCGAGGGGCTGGCAGCGGAGAGCGTCGCGCGGAAGTTTGGGCTCAAGGAGTAAGAATCCTAGATCTAGGTAGGGCTTTGGGACATTTTATATTTTCCCTTATTGGGCTTAAGAGGATCTTTTTTACCAACATTTTTCAAAAGCTTTAAAAGCCCACCTAGTAGATAGTATTATACCTTATACCCTAAACCCCGAACCGGTATAAAACCCTTAAGGAACTCTTGAAGGAGCCCGAAAAAGAACCCTACTTATTACTAATCAAGTTCCCTGAACCTCTAAGAATCCTCGGTAGAATTAGGGAGACCCCGTAAGGGTGCCTTTAATGGTTCCTTCATGGGTTCCTTTAAGGGCTCCTTTGCTAGGTAGTCGTGGGGAGACCTCTTTGGGTTTAGGGGGTTTAGGGTTTGGGGATGAGGGGTTTTGGGGTTTCGGGTTTAGAGTCTTTAGGGTTTAGGGTTTAGCCTAATCCTAACTCCTAAAGAGCAGACCAGGATCGGAGGCTCGGGGTTTGGGGTTTGGGGGGTTTAGGGTTTGGGGGGGCGTTCCCATGGAGTTCAGGCTTCAGGGTTTGGGGTTTAGAAACCGGAATAAGGCCACATAGTGCTGGGACTCCCTGTACATTACTCTTAAGGATTGAGGCTATTGGGTTTCCAACTTTTTGGCTTCTTCCTTTAGGGCTTCTTGGTTCCTTTAAAGTTTAGGGTTTTGGGGGTTTAAGGTTCAGGTTTCAGGCTTGGGGTTTGGCGTTTGGGTTTCGGGGTTTCAGGGTTTGGGGAGTTATGGGGTTGGGGGTTTAGCTTGGGTTCTAATATGTGGGGTTTAAGGTTCAGACTTAGGGGTACTTAGAAGTAATTTTTAGTTTTTGGTTATTATAATCCCTAAGAAACAGCTGAACATATATTTTTCTAGGGTTCTAAGTTCAGTTAAATTCAGCGTTTGGGGCTTGGGGTTGAGGTAGTTTATGGTTTGGGGTTCAAGGTTTTCGAGCCGGAGTTCGGGTTAAGTGCTGAGGTAGCATGTGCGCGAGAGCCCGGCGTCGCAACACAAGCCGCGGTTCTAACGTAGAAGCCCGAATAATTGCCGATAGGATCTCTGGGGTTCCTTATCGAGTCTAAGGTTTCAACAGCCCAAAAACCCTGACTGGCTTTAATTATTCCTAATTATTAAGACCCCTACATCGCAGTATACCTTAGATCCTAAACCCTCTGACGTAGGGACTTAGGCTATTGAGAAAACCCTAAACCCTAAACCCTAAACCCTAAACCCTAAACCCTAAACCCTAAACCCTAACGCCCCAACTTTCGCAGATTGATTGTTTACACGGCTAGTTTTTTTGATTTTTTCCAGCTTGGGGTCCCTTTCTAGGTCCAAAATAATAAGAATAATAACAATAATAATAATAATAACAATAATAATAATAACAATAATAATAATAATAATAATAATAATAATAATAATAGGGCACCTTTATGTAAAAAAGGGACCCCCAGAAGGGACCCTAATTTAGAGAACAGATCTGTGACCGACCATCGCTGCTTTATCTGGCAGTGTCGTCCTCTGAGGTCTCCCCTGGCACAGAAACGGACAGATCGTTTAGGGCGTATGGTTTATGGTTTATTGTTCGGGGTTTATATAGAGTTTCGGGTCGGGTTTAGAGTTTAGGGCTTTGGGTTTCGAGTTCAGGGTAGAAGACCTACTTTTTAGGGTTCCTGATTCTGGTTGCTATATATAGTTCCTTAAGACGGTAGGTTTTTTCGGCTACAGGTAGAGTTAATCTACAAAAAGCCGGGGTGTAAGTAGTGAGCTGTAGATCTCCCTCAAAAGGACCACCCTGCTGCATGTTTGTTTATGCCATCTTACGACCGTTGCCGCCAAAGATGCCGTGGCGGGCAGCTGCCGAGACCAATGCAGAAGAAAAAGCCTCACCCTTCAACGCTTCGCAGGCTTTGCAGTTATATGGGTGGTTGTCAAAATTAGGGTCCCCTTTGGGGTGCCCGAAATAATAGGTGCTGTATTATATTCAGGACCCAAACAGAGACCCTAATTTTGACAACCCCCCCCCATATAACAGCTTCAGGGTCCAGGGTTTAGGGTTTAGTGTTTCCAGTGTGTGTTTAAGTTTTAGGGTTGCGGGTTTAGGGGGGAGCATTTCAACGATTGCAGTATCATTGTGCTGTACAAATCCTAAATCCATGAGCCCCTATCCTCCTAAGGCCATGTTCCAACTGTCGGGCTTCTACTATAAAGCCTCATAGTTTGTCGACTCAGAAACCCCAAAATCCTCAAGCCCACATCCCTCAGCCCCCTAAACCTCGCCGAGAAAAGCATGGAACCTTAAAATGACGGGGGGTCTCACATAAAGTATTGTCCTTGCGAGAGGGCTCCATGTTCACTTTATGTTGACAGTTGACGTTTTACAAGGCTCCCACACGGTCAAGTTTAGGGGTTTCGGGTTTCGGGCATTTAAGATTTAGGGGCTACTCATACTGATCAATCTCAACTGGGCCTTCAGATAAACCACTCAGGCCAGCGTGAATCGAGCTCCAAAATGCTGAGCCCCAAACCTTAGGGGTACTTACAAATATTTTTTTTGGTTATTATAACCCCTAAGAAACAGCTAAGATTAAAATTTTTGCTAAAATTCTATATTCAGCATAGAAACACTAAACCCTCAACCCGAAAATGCTAAACCCGAAACATTGAACCTTAAGCCCTACACGCTAAATCAATCTTGAACCTCGAAGACGTGACCCTAAACAAATCCGTAAACCTGAAACAACTGCATTCGACAGGGATTCGGGTATTACGTTTGCTGGCGGGATGGGCGCCAAACGGTCTGGGTGCGGCCGTGGGGCGCTCAACTGGATTCCTGATTCAGGGCTTAGGGTCTAAACCCTAAACCCTAAACCCTAAACCCTAAACCGTTATGGGGTTACATGAAGCAGGGCTCC